CTTCACAAATACTGTGGTTTTTGTTTGTTTTTTACAAATTGAAGATTTGTGGCAATCCTTCATGAAGCTCTACCCACTCCATTTTTCCAATAGCACATGCTTACTTTCTGTCTCTCTCTCACATTTTGGAATTTTTGCAATGTCTCCAGTGTTTTCATTATTATATCTGTCATGGTGACCTGTGATCAGTGATCTTTGATATTACTACTGTAATTATTTTGGGGTGCCATGAACCATACCCAAAAGATGGTGAACTTAGTCAATAAATATTTTGTGTGTTCAGACTGCTCCAACTGATCAGACAGTCCATCATCTCTCTTCCTCTTTTCCTTGGGTCTTACTATTCCATGAAGCACAAAAATATAAAAGTTAGGTCAATATATAATCCTACAATGGCCTCTAAATGTTAAAAAAAAAAAAAGAGTTACATGTCTCTCACTTTAAATCAAAAGCTAGAAATTATTAAGCTTAGTGAGGAAGGCATGTCAAGAGTCAAGAAAGGCTAAAAGTTAGGCCTCTTGTGCCAAAAAGCCAAGTTGTGAATGCAAATAAAAAGTTTTTGAAGGAAATTAAAATTGCTACTCCAGTGAACACACAAATAATAAGAAAGCAAAACCACCTTAATGCTGATGTAAACAAAGTTTGAGGTTTCTGGATAGAAGATCAAACCAGCCACAACATTCCCTTAAGCCAAATGATAATCCAGAGAAAAGTCCTAACTCTTTTCAATTCTACAAAGGCTGAGAGAGGAGAGGAAACCAAAGAAGTTGAAGCTGACAGACATTGGTTCATAAAATGTAAGGAAAGAAGCCCTCTTCATAACATGAAAGTACAAGGTGAAGCAGCAAGTGATGATGGAGGATCTGCAGCCAGTTATTCAGAAGATCTAGTTAAGATCAGTGATACAAAATTTACACCAATCTGTAACCCTACAGTGGCTTCTCAGTGACATAAGATCCATGATGACAGTGATTATCATTGATGAAGATATTCTGTAACTGAACGCACAATATCTCTCAGGTATGCATGTGTGCGTGTGCATGTGCGTGCGTGTGTGTGTGTGTGTGTGTGTGTGTGTGTGTGTGTATACCCACAGGTCCTATACAGAATAATATATGAAAGGTACTTAGACACAATTTGTATCTGCTACTCATTGGTTTATTGCTCTTCACCAAAAAATCTTACAATTTAGTTAATATTTATGTTAAAATTTCAGAAAATATTTAGTTTCCATAGCAATGTAAATGACAATAATATAAAGTTTCTCAGTCAAATACTTCTGTTTTTATATATATAAAAAAAAAAAAACAAGCAAAATTTTTGCTTAATGATTCTTTCAGTTTGGATTTCCAAGCATTTAAATGAATGATTTCCACTCTTTGCAAGTATTGAAACATAAGGCACCTGTCATTTTCATTACACAAGGTGAGAATCTATGTAAATTGTGTAATTGGGAGGGAAGTTGGTACAAATAAAACACTTTCTGGGATCTGAGTAAAGGTAGTGGAAGAGGAACTGAGAAAAAAACTTCAGAGTAAAGCTTTGTGCTGGAGATTTCACCAACCAAGAAAAATGCTTTCAAGTTCTTTTGCAGGACAATTTCCCATTCTTAATCTGCCTGAATTAATTTTTATATTATGGTATATTAATTTTATATTACAATTTAATTTTTATATTGTATTAATTCTTATTGTATTAAAAATATAATTCTTAAACTATTTTCTCAGTCGGATAGCACATATCTTCAAGTAGGATTTTCAAGAACGTTTTGTGCATGACGGTTTCTGAGCTCTTGCATATGCAAGTAGGTCTGACTTCATCCACAAAAAAATTATAACCTAACCCTATATAATAATGTAAAGTCACAGCCTTTTCTCTCAGAAATCAGTAGATACTGTTCCACTGGGTTCTACAGGGAAGTATAATGCTAGCCTGATTTTACCATGTGAAAGAAGAAACAAAACTGTAGACTCAGTAATCTTTCCAATGCTTTCTTTCAAGGTTTTGCACTAACTGTTCTTCCTCAAGAACGTTTAAAATTATTTAGTAATGTCCAGCCTGTTGACTTGCACATCTAACATCTTTTTTCTCATCTATTTGAACTTTTTTCACCTTTCCTTAGCATTTCTGAAGAACTTATTGTGTTTGTCTTCCACATTACACACAGGATTTCTTAGTGTTAAATCTTTTCTGCTGGCTCTGTGTGTTTGATTTGGCCACTGCATTTCAAAATTTCATTATTTAGTCCATTATGTTTTTCTTCATGACCTTTTCTCTTCAGATGGTTCTCTTCGTATAGATTTCTCATTCTGTTTCACAATAACTGTATCTTCTTACGCTCTACTGAGACAGCTGGCCACTTTTTCTACAAGCTTTTCCTTTTACCGTTTTCAGTCTTTTGGATGAATTTTGAAACTCTCCTTTCCATTATAAAATTTTAAATATTCATTTTTGAATATTTAAATAAATTCTAATGATGGGAGATTATACAGAAAACGTATTGGAGAAAGCCAAAGGTATGCAGCCTGGTCATCACAGTCCCTGGTGAATTTTTGGAATCTATCAGGTTTTTATATCATTTGTTTTTATAAAATTAAAATGTAATTTTCTTCCTTGAACAATTCCAGTCTCTAATTTTATCTCTGGCAATGGCACTTCATATTGGGAGGTACTGTTTATTTGTCTTTCCCAAAACTGCCCACCAGCCCCTTCCATGTGTTAGCAAATATTTATGCTGTGAAGCATATGGAAATCACAAAAAGAGGTACAGAGAAAGGCATAAAGAGAATGGGGTACGTGGATAATACTTTGATGTGTTAAAATAACAACAGTAATGACAGTGGCTATGCCTAACAAAATTCAATAGCTCATTAGTTTCTTTCTCCTAATTCGCTACTCGTCTTTCTCCCTTGGATTTGCTATCAATGAATGAAGACAGAGGGGTATTAGTGAGAATAGAGGCGGGCTTTGAAGACAGCACTGGGGAGGACTCAAAAGTAGCAGACAAGCAGTAGAAAGACAGCTGCTCATCTTTTAAGAGGTTTCTAAACTACAGACAGAAGACCGAGGAGGGCACAAGACAGGTCTTTATCTTTACTCTCTCTTTTCCTATCTTGCTGAATTTTTAAATAAAGTGGTGTTAATGTTCCATCAACGAAGATTTTCAACCCAAAAATATTAGGCTAAATTAGTTATTATGTTAAATACTACATAGAGTATAATAATATACATTAATGAATTTTAGCGTTGTATGACATGTCATTATTTTGTATTGTCTATGTCTTCACAGATATTTTATTTCATTTATATTATTTTTATTGATATATCATAGTTGTATATATTTTGGGAGTACATGTGATATTTTGATACCTGTATATGTGTAAGTCAGGGTAACTAAGGTATTCATCAGTTCAAAAATTTATCTTTTGTGTGGTGAACATAAAAATTCTTCTCTTACAACTTTTGTTATTATACAATAAATTACTGTTAACTATAATCATGAATTTAGTATTGGCTATGTTGAGTGCAGCTATTCTGGAGCCATCTAAAGGGTAAGCCCTAGTTCTACATTCTTAAGTCTGTTTCATCTGGCAACTTCTCTTCAGTGTTTCTTAGGTCCTGCCTGGCATCTCATGCTTGTCTACTGAGAGTCTTTCCTTATTCTACAAAACTAGCCACTCTCTTCAACCCTTCCAGATGAAATGGTGATCATTACATGGCTCTACTGGGAGTGGTTCTTGGTGTCCAGTGATCTAGAACACAACCATGTTGAGGATGATGACTCTTAAATGACTTCCAAAATCCAAATTCCTGTGGTTCTACTGTAATACATAAGCTTGCTTTATCCTTCCAGGTAATTTGTTTTTTCGTCTATTGCCTAGTACTACTAGGCAGTACTAGGAATCTTCATGGGCTTAGGTCCATATGGAATTCCTGGGGACTTTAGAGTCTACCAAAAAGTACAATACTATTGAATAACAATGTGCATTAATGTAAGAATAAGGCAGAAACCTAATTGCTATAAATTTCACACTCTGCTATAGGTTTTAGCAATTATAAAGTGTTAACTTTTTAAAAGTTGCTAATTTAACAAGATTTAGAACCTTAACAGTACTTTATATAATGTAGCATTTAGCATTTTTAATGTTATTAAGGTGTGTTTAAAGGCAGAGGAACACATTGATTAGTCATCATCCAGAGTACCCTTATCAACGAATCAGCTCTCAAATCCTTCTACCTTATTATGGCAACTGATTTAATCTTGTTGTACAATACTGTCCATTAGCATAGCATATTTTATTCAGCCCTCTCCAATCATTTTTAGACTAATAAGTTTCTGAAAGCCTTTCTACAAATTAGAAGTCCAAAGGAGAGCCAAACAGAAATTACTTCCAGAAACAGCAACCATAAGCAGTTGAGTAAAAGACACAAGAATTATTACAAGATCAAAGCTCAAATTATTGGCTTGATACCAAGGTATCCACAGAAATATAGCTCAAACCACAAATCAAAGTCACATATATAATGTTAAATGTTCCAGTAGCCATATTTTAAAAGTTTAAAACAGAAACAGGTGAGGTTAACTTTAATAATATATTTTATATAACCCCAATATATCCAAGTTAACATTTTGTTATTAAATCATTTGCAAATGTGTGCTAAGAATTAAAGATCTGGTGTGTATCTTACACTGATAGAACATTTTAATTTGGACTAGTCATATCTCAAGTAATCAATTGTTACATAGGACTAGTGGTCACCACAGTGGACAGTTCAGGTCTAGATTTTTATGTTATCATTATGCCTTTAGAAAAATGTTCTAGAAACAAAAATTACTGATAACATGTGAGGTAATGCAAATGTTAACTGGCTCAATTTAGCTATTTCACAATGCATACATATTTCAAAACATGTTGCAGATTATATATAGTTTGTCAATTAAAAATTTTTAAATGACATACAAATAAATAATATGAGAGATAATAGTTATTTTCTCTTACCTACACAAATCTTCTTTAATGTGAAGGGAGATCAATTCCTTAGGAATATGAAAAGAAAGAATGCTCTCTGACATCTGCTCTCGAATTCGCATCCACTTATTATCAGATGTGGGAAATCTATATAATTTACATACTGGGTTCTTTAACACTGAGAAAAAAAAGAAAAAAAAATAGTTAAATTTTAAGCAAATGCATATCAGGTGTAGCCCAATTAACAAAACTATTAATCAAGGTAGCATTTTAATTATTCATTTGATCAAAAATTTCTTTATCAAAATCCATTAGTGTATCTACATTTCTAAGAATTAGTATTTTGATATCTTTATTTTTTCCAGTAGCTTCTGAGACACATAATCTTTGTTAAATTAAAAAACAATTATACATCAAGCTCCAAATCATAAAGTAGCTACTACTTTATGATTTGAAAGCCACATGGCTACTGTGGCTAATTTACTACCTATTGATTCTTCTCTTCTTCTAAAGTTTTACAGAGTGTATGTGTCTACAAATACAAATTAAAGTATAAGTATACTATCCTAATATACACTTTGAACAAATATATTTCTGAATTTCTTCTGATCACTTTTAAGTCAACTTTACCTATTTATATCGTAAGTCATGAACTGATAAGTTATTTTGGAAATTTCAAAAGGCCTTACTGAATGTTATTTCTTACATGTCAGAAAGGTTCACTCATTTGGCTTAAAATCTGTTAAAATTCAAATACCATACATACTTTAGTGTCAATGAGACAATAACACACTTTCCTGAAACCGTGTATTATAAGGAAGGCAGAGAGACTGTGAAGAAACTGTATTTAGGGTGGAGGGGAAAGTATCAAGGATAATGTAACCAAGAATTTTCAAAAAGATTCAGAAAAAGAGTATAGGATTAGATATTATGGTAACATTTGATACTTATTAGTGAAGCCACCACTCACATCACACTTTCAAGCAATCAGGGCAGAATTTCATTTTCATTGCTCTTCAGCAGTGAATGCCTATGCCACACTTATACACCAAAGCTTAGCGGGTAATAAAATATCAAGTCAGTCACCAGTCAAGAATCTATGATTAGTTGGCTTCAGTTTACAATAAAGCTAATTAAAAACATTAGTTGATATTGAACCAGAAGGCTTTCAATAATACTGAACACGATATGTGGGCTAGATCTTCTCAATGTACAGGGAAAAATTCTTTTCAAAATTTTAGGGTCTGTAAGACCACCGTATTTCATTCACTACTTGGGTAAAAATCTATCTTTTTGAACACTGAAATGAGGATCTAATTCATCCATTTCCCTGCAATCACCCATTCTCAAAATTACATACTCTCTGGACATTATCATTATCAAACTTGGTACCATGATGGAAACCATGATTCCAAACATCCTGTTGTTCAACCACCAGATTCAAATCTTCTAGTACACTTACATACTCCTGCCAAGAATTAGAGAGCTCTCACTTTTCAACAGCATCAATAGAAGATAGAAGACAGTACACTATTTCTAGCATGTTGACAGAAAATACTGCATTTTAAAATCAGAGATGTATGCCCCAAAGATTATCTTTTGAATATTTAAATTTTGTCAATTCGGTTTATTTACAGAATATATACTTAGAGTTCATTGTCTTTACTTTCTTTTGCCTTAAATATAAAAACTTACGCCAGTCAATAAAATTAAAAGTTTTCTTCACTTGTAAAGTGACAGTGTTTCAAAGACGTAAGAATTTTATTATTGCCTCTTATAGTATCTTTGGAATAGGAAGAGGAAAAAAAATATGTACTAAATTCATTATGGTGTCCATATACCAAATAAGAGTTCTCATGAATTTTCAATATATCTAACATGGTTAGGAATATGAATGCATCATTTTGTGGTAAGACAAGCTTCAGTCCTTGAAATGGACAAGCTGTTTGTTATTTAGCAACATATATAAATATTTGATTACTGGGTTTATCTAGACTCAGTATAAGTGAGATTTTTTAAAACTCTCTTTTTTTTTCATGATTCAGAACTTTTGTATCTCTTAAAGCATGGTTAAAAATCCTTGGATTTTCCTTGCCTTTTATACATCAATAATAATTTTTTAGAAAAATTATATTTTTAATTATGTCACAAAATATAAAAGTCCTCATTTTCTCTGTTGATCTCAAAACAAATCCTTCTACTTTATATTTTATTGTTTTTTTTTTCTTTTTCTTTCTTTTTTTTTTTTTTTTTTTTTTTTTTTTTCCTTTTTGGTAACAGGGTCTCACCCAGCCTAGAGTGCAATAGTGGGATCTCAGCAGTCTTCCTGTCTCATCCTCCCAAGTAGCTGGAACCACAGAAGCATGCCAATGCTGGTAATTTTTATTTTATTTTTTTGTAAAGATGGAGTTTCACCATTGTTACCCAGGCTGGTCTTGAAATCCTGGGCTCAAGCTATCTGCCCACTGTGGCCTCTCAAAGTGCTGAGATTACAGGTGTGAGCCACCACTCCTGGCCTTATTATTTCCATACTAATACTCTTCAATGCACTTTGAATTTAAACCTTGGTTGAAATAGATTAAGCAGAAATCAAGGGTGGTTTGATTAATGAACTCTAGAACTCTGCTACAACTATGAGGTATACATCATCCAAGGACTCTCTAGAAATGCTGCTGTTTATAAAGAAAATATTTGGGACAATTTAAAAACCAGGAAGTTTAATCATGCAAAAAATTTCTAGTGATGTAGCCAATTTAACTTTTATGTTATGGGTTCTGATCTTTTGAGAAGCATAGGTCTCCAAACATTAGTACTAAATTGTATTTCTTTATCATTTAATCTCAGCGTAGATATAATGGAATCTACTTTACCACTTAGTTTGATCCAGCAGTGTTGCTTATTAAACACCTATCATGTCTGAAGCAAGAATATCTCCTATGTATAATAAAATACAATATAATGGAGTGTTATTTTTAAAATGCAGAAATTAGGTCTGACCTTTAAATGCCGTGCAAACTCATTACACAAAGAGCAAATAAAATGTTCTCAACTCAAAATTCTTGCTGGTCTGATGGTAGGGAGATTTTGTTATCCTCACATAAAATAAAAACATGGTACTCATATATTGAATATTGAACAATGGGCCACAAAAGATAAATATTTTGTCAACTTAAAAAAAAATGATTCTTCTCTATGTCATAAAAACTCTGCTCACATACACTCGAGCTGTGTAAATAAGCAAATGCCTGTGTAAATGACTTTCATCTCTGGCTCTCCACTGGTGGCAAGTATTTATTCATGCAGGAGATGGCTTGCTGACCATACAATAGGCTTATCCCAATAACAGTAACCATGTAATACCTACTACATGTTCTTTCGAAAGAGAGCCCTGTGTGTATTCTCATCTTTATTTTTTCACTGTGTTTGCCATACAATTGCTAAAAATATCATGTGACTGATTGTACCAAAAGAAAAGTAGGTGAGATGTTTTGGACCATATCATTGCATTGTGATGGCAATGTGTGTAAAGTTCTAAACTAGTCCAGAGTTTGATTGACACATTCCCCTCGAGGTCCACTCCCTAAGACAGAACACAAAGTAAATGGCAGATTCTTCTTTCCTTTGAAACTGCTGCACAACTCAAATATCCATATTGTTTCTCCCAGACTGTAATAGGGACATTTAACAAGGTCCAGGGATAATAAAAAAGCTCAAACATTTATTTCACTAGGTTATCTTATATATGTTTCTCCAGAGGAACCTAATCTGTGATTATATTCGCACACTTTCTTGCTTCCAGGACATGATAGAAGTAGCATAATAAAATGAATCCAACTTCATTGGCTTCAGGTCTTATAGACTCATTATTTTACTACACTGCAGATTCTTGTAGAGTATCAATTCATTAAAAAACTTTAATTATGTTGTTGTTTAATTAATTATACAGTTAAATGTATCTGCATTGCCTATTTTCCAAAAGCTACATTATACTTTCTAAGGGTAAGTCTGTAATCCAATTAGATATTGACACAGCCTCATTTGTATTTGAAGATATCTTAGACTTAAATACATAATAAATGAAAGCTGGCTTTTTAAAGATTGGATGAGCACTGAGAAACTTAAACAGAAATCACAAAAACACTGTCCTTAGCATGGCTTCAGAAAAGTGAGAGTAAGAGAAACATAAGAGGAGCTCAGAATATACAGCAAACAGATACCCTGAATCCATCCAAACTTGCAAGTTCTTGGCCAAAAATAAGAAAAACTATTACAGATGTCATACTAAAATACAAATGCGTTATTTGTCTGCAGTTGGTGGCAACTGGTGAATTTCATCTGTAGAATTTGGATTTAGATCTTGGGTGGTTAGAAAAATGGTTGGCCTTAGCTCAGTTCATTCTGTTTCAGTTAGTGAAGGATACAACTTGTAAAGCTAGAAGATCGCTCCTACTTCATGCTGAGAAACCTGGGACAACCCATAATCTATTGCACTCATCATGTTGTTTCTTGTCAATATGCCTGGGGTCAAGGCATTCCATACACTTTACAGGAACCCCCAACTTTCCTAACCACATGTAATCATCTTATAAACTTTGTTCAGCTATCACCTCCTCTAGGAATCCTTCTTCAACCTCTGCTATCACCTTCCCTTATAGGTGTCGCTTCTTTTTACTTCACACCTCCATCTGTATCAAGGTTCTTACCAACAGGAATATGAGCTGTGGGTGGGGGAGGGTAGTGGTGGAGAGGGCTATGTGGTTTTTCTTGTTCTCTTTTTTCCTGCTACACTTAGTATAATGCCAAGCAAATAGAAACATTTCACACAAATGAGCCTTAGATCTTGCAACTCAGATGTATTTCATCATTATTCTCCCCATGAAGAGAACAGGTACACCAACAATTGTGGAAATTGAGAGGGATAAAGGCAAGAGGGAAGAGCATAATTAAAAGCCCCCATGCAAGAGGGAGCACAGGTATCAGAATCAGGGAAAAGATGAACCATAATTGAAAGACCTCTTCATGTTCTTCCATAAAATGTTAACTTTTTGACTATTATCACTTTCTTGTCTGTTTTACTTTTCTTCTAGTGTACCTAAGGAAGGAAGAGGAGGAGATAAACAGACTTACAAAGATAGCTGAAGCATTTAAAGGTGTCTAAGAGATGGTTCTATTCATTAT